GCTGCTGAGACACACCGTTGGCCGGTCGCGGCGGTGTGCCCGCCTCGGCCACAGCTGGCACAGGAGCGGGCAGCGTGCCCGGCACCGCCGCGGGCGAGAGGCCCACCGCAGCGCGCAGCGGCTCAATGCGTCGCAGTACAGCCTCTATGTCGGGGCGCTGCGCTGGGTCCACTGCAAGGAGGTCCCTCACAAGAGCACGCAGCAGGGGGTGGCGCCCCGGGGGCATGTCGTATTTGCCGTTGATGACGGCCAGCTTGCTGTCACCCTGGAAGGGCAGGCGACCAAAGCCCAGCACAAACAATAGCACACCCATGGCCTGGGGAAAGGGCGAGGATGCGGCAGCGCAAGCGCGTGCGTGTTTTGTCCTCAATGACGAAAGACGACACCACAGGAAGCGCACCAGTAAGCGATCATGTTGACAGCCCCGGGCGCTAGCCCTGGAGTCACTTTGCCCACAAGGGCTTTGCTGAACCCTGCCACCACCCACGCTCTGGTAGGCTCCCTGCATCCCTTCATCCCAACCCCTGAAGTCGGACAAGCGCATGTGTGTGTAGGGGAAAGGAAGTGGAGTGGGGCGTAGGGCAGCAAGATCAGGGCATTGATGCTCACCCAGATGTCCACCTTGGTATCGATGAGCTGGCGCTGCAGGCCAAGGTCCCACATCTGAAAGGAGTGGGGTGCGGGGGAGAAGGAGGTGGTTGGGGAAGGGTGGACATCATAGCAGGGTGGTCAGCAGAGCCACGCGTCAAACACGCCGGCAAGGTGAGCGAATAGCTGCCATGCAGTGGGCAAAATGAAAGACAGTTGCATGGGCAGAAAGTTGGTCCAGCCATCGCACGAGATTAGGGCTTGACCAACAGCCTGTGCACGACGCCAGCTTGCGCGCCTGCCGCTCCCCCTTCCGACCCCGCGCAACCTCACCTCAGGCGCTCTGTACGCGGGAGTGGTGTGCTTGCGGATGACGTCCTCCTCCGCCGCGATCTCCGCGACCGTGGAGTACACCATGGCACGGGCAGTAGCGCTGCCAAAGTCGCACAGCACCCAGGTGCCGTCCTCCACCATCAGCACGTTCTCAGCCTTGAGGTCCCTGGGTGGGGCAGGGGGCCAGGGGGGCGGGGGCGCTCAAGGCCCAGGCCAGGGCTTAACAATGTCGTTGAGGGTCAGGGGTGTGCTCAGGTGCAAAACGCGCCTGTGGAGCACGCCAGGAGGTTGAGGTGAGATAGCTGCAAAGCTGCCGCATATCTGAGTTTGCTGCGCCCCACTCCGCCGCACAAGATTAGCCTTGCCACTCGTGCCCACACCTGTGCGCCAGGGGAGGGCTCTGGCGGTGCATGTGCGCAATACCCGCAGCCACCGCGCTGAAGACGGCCACGGCGCTCCTCTCGTCCAGAGCAAAGTTGGAGCGCTGCATGGCAGCCAGGAGCGTGTCGGGGCAGTGGTCCACCAGCAGGAAGCCGTCGGTCTCGGCACCCTTGGGGCCCGCAAATGCGGCCGCGTGCAGCCGCAGGATGTTCGGGTGTCCCCGCAACTTGGGCAGCGGCAGAGGGGTAGGTGGGCAGGCGGGGTTTAGACAGGATTTTGGCAACTAATTGTGTCCCAAAGCACAGTCGCGCTGTCCTGCACTGCAGCGTGACATGGCACCCGGCCTTCGTTCCTGCAGCACCCGTCCCAGGCAACCCCTCCGCCCCCACCCCTCACCCGCGCCATGGTCTTGGCCTCCCGCTGAACCTCCGCAATGTGCTCCTGATCACCTGCCAACCGCAGGTGCTTCAGCGCATAATGCCGCCCCGAACCGTCGGCCACGCGATAGATGTCTGAGTAGCCGCCCTGGCCGACCTGCGCCTCCACGCGCACCTTGGGCGGGGAGGGGGGCAGGCGGGGCGGGTCGGTCAAGGCAGAGACAAAGTTTGAGTTTTGTAAACAAAAGTGCGTGAATGCACACTTTCTTGGGCTTGGGCTCCAAGAGGCAGCAGCTGTGGGCGAGGCGGTTGAGGTGGTAGCGGTGTACACTGAATCCTCACTCCCAAGTGTCAGCTGCCCCACACAGACCCACACCCACTGGAGGCGCTGCACTACCAGCCCATGCCCCTTATGCCGCCCGCCCCACCTGCATTGCGCCAACCTGAACCTGTTTCCCCACCAGCGGGCCTTGAGGCTCACGCCGGCTCTGTCGTGTTGAGGTGCAACAAGCAAGCAGGGCAACTCGGTCAGCAGGGTGCACAGGCGCTTGCAGGGCGTGGCGAACCGCAGGGTCCAGACATGCATGCTGATGCGACACCACCAACAGCTCAATCTAGGTCCCTGCCTTGTGATTGAAGAGCTGCTTCATTGCTCCGATGGTGTGACCTTGCCGGCGACGGGCGTTCCCGGCGCCTCGGCCGCTCCGCACTGTCTGCCCTCGCGAGAACCACTGCGCACGCGTGCACTCGCCACAGCTCCGAAACTGTGCGCGGGGGCTCCTGGGTACCGTATTCGGATTAGCTAGAAGTCAGGCTGCTCTTCGATGTCATTGCTGTTGGTTCAGTGCCACAGCCTAACAGCAGGCACAAAAGAGAGTAGAAGCCACCAATTTTCGTAAGAATGTCCGTCTGCAGGGAACTGTGCTCGAAGCCAAGTGGGCGCCATCATCCATGGATGGCTAGCAGCTCGAGCTGCAGCCTCCTTCGCCAGCGGACCGGCGCTCAAATTTCTGCCATACCGTAACGACTGAACGTTCTCAATCACAATAAAGCTTGAGTCGATCGGGTACGAGTCCGCGTTGCTTGTCGAAGATCACGATGTCCTGCATGTGACACAGCGTGTAGTCTTGAGCACGAAGCTGAGCAACTCGTATTGAATCGGAGTCGTCACCTCTAGGGGTCAAAATTCGCAGCACGGGTAGAGGGGTAGGATTGCGGCGGTGCGCTGTGGGCGTGCAGCCGCTGCTGCATCGGGCTGGCCGGCACGATGGGGACAGCTTGGGATCGCGAGAACGATTTCAGGTATGCTTGTCTTGCGATGCCCATGGAGCTTTCCAAGGGTAGGGCATGGGGATTGTGCTAGCGGTGTCATGCTGCCGTGCTGCCGTGCTGCTGTGGTCAAGTGCAGCGCCCCGACCCATCTGGGGCTGTGCCGGCTCTGCGTTGCACTGTTGTGGCCGGGCAGGGGCTGCCTGGAGCGGTGCGTAAAGAAGCCCAGTGCCAGCGCAATTGAGGAGCTGGCGCAGATAGCAGTTGACGACCACAAAGTGGTAAGCATGCTGCGCCCTACATGGAAGCCCAGCGGCACATTACAGGTGGCCTGTGCGCAGAGTCACAAGGCACTGCGCGGCGCAGGGTGGAGCGAAGCGAAGGGCTTTACTGTGATTTATGGTTGCCATGTCACACTGCGGCATCAGCTACAGGGGGCCGCTGCACCTGGTGCTTGCGCAGCTCAAAGTGTGCTGCCCTGTGCTCCAAACCTCCCCGCGGGCGCAGTGCTACAAGGTGGTTCCGGCGCTTTTTGAGCGGCAGTTGCGCAAGAGCCTGGTCGCGTCACAGCGCGTCAACGTGCTGTATGCAGTGCACAAGGTGCTGCGGTCCGCCAAGAAGCAGCTGCGCAACAAAAGCAGATATCGTGAGCATGGCGCCCGGGCTAGGGCGGCAAAGCTACCCGGCAGCCGCCGACTGCTGGTGCAGCCCAGCCACATCAACAGCGCTGAGCTGGCGGGCGTGCACCGTCCAGCTGTGGATTTCAGCATGCCCTGTGGGCTGGCGCCTGCCACCTTGTTTCCAACCCTTGACCCCTGCCTCCGCTCGTTTGTGCCCTTACCAAACAGCCGAGCGCTTTGGCGCGTTCTTACCCAGCGCGATTGAGTCAATTCTGGCGGCCCCGGATGCCACGCCGGACGAGACGGTGCGGGAGAGTCAGGGTGGGCTTGGTTGGTTGGCACATAGTGATGGCGCTGGCAGACAACCACATGGGAGCCGGGGTTTGCAACCCATACCCTTTATGGGTGACTCACTGGCTGCCGCCTCAGCTTGTGCTCATAAGCCTAGAGACCACCTCACCGCCCCACTACTCGCCCCAGGCCAAGCTGCGCAAGCTGGCGTCCTCGTGGCGCTCGCAGGACGTGCTGGAGGGCAGCGTCATGGCGGCCATTGACGCGCTGCTGCCACCAATTACGCCCGGCGGTGCCAGCGCACACGCCTCTGATTTTCAGCAGCTTGTGGGCAAGAGCGGCCGTACCTCGCAGCCAGCAGCCGGGAGTGACAGCAGCAGGCAGGCCAAGAGGCAGCGCGCGGAGCCAGGCATGGCGGGGCACACGGCTGGCAAGGCCAACGGGGGCTCCTTACCGCCCCCCCAACAGCTCGGTGCTCCTCCGCCCCCGCCACAGCTGTCCCCACCACCCCACCTGCAGCAGACTGGGCGGGCCCTGCCGATCCCCCGCCCCGAGCAGCAGCAGCAAGATCAGCAGCAGCACGCAGCAGCAGGAGCAGCAGCAGCAGCAGTAGCAGCAGCAGCAGCAGCAGCGGTAGGGGTGCACTGGGCCGCGCCGGGCCCCCCTGCTGAGGCTTATGACCCCTTCACCGCGGCGGAGCCTGTACCCTGGTCTACCAGCGTGCAGCCGCCCCCTCCTCCTGGGCCCGGGCCACGTGCCATTGAGGCTGCAGCAGCGGCTGTAGCAGCGGCGGCAGCAGCGGCAGCGGCAACGGCAGCAAGGGGCGCCGCCCCTGCCGCCGACAACGGTGATCTGGGCAGGGCGGGTACGCCCACAGCGCCGCCTCAACAGGTGGCTGTCACCACGCCAGTGCCGCGGCGGCAATTTGGGCGCAAGGCCCTGCTGGCGGGCCAGCCACCATCTGTCCAGGCCCAGACAGCGCAGGCACCGGTGGATATGCCCGAGTTGCCGTTGGAACCAGCGGGGCCGCCACCCCCACCCCC